TTCTGTTCCTGCTGAGCCAGGTTCTATTCAGCCCCTAGAGAGGAGAGGGTTTGCATCCAGTCATCTGGCCTTCTCTAGAAACAAAGCATTTGTAGGTCTTACAGACTTTTCCTTCTTAGGCTTATTTGTTACTCTTCTTTTGCTAACTACTGTGTGCATCTCTCCTGTATCTCCTTGCTCTTTTACCTAGGTTTCTCATTATAGTAGCCAAATGCAATTAAAATAGGCAAGAATGAAGTGGAAAATTTCAAAATCACAGTGTAATTTATTTTTTTTTAAACACACCCCATCGGCCCCAGTCTTTTTCTAAATAGTTCTTACTGTATAAAGGCCTATGTAGGTTTTTTATTGTTTTAGATTTAGAGCCCTTATGAAATGATGTTTAGTGATTTTAGTTCCACAGAGTGTATAGCTCTAGCTGTTTTAGCAAAGCAGATAAGAAATAAAACAAAATGAAAAAATAATCAGTCAACAAGGAACTGTCCAAAATAGCCTGAAAGGCTGAAAAGTCTTGCAGTATTTGGCAGATTTTTATCTGCTATTAAAGGAATTTTGCTGATCTGTTTTAGTGTTTATCATTCTTCACCACCCACCTTCTACACTCTTAATTTTTCTTGTTTATAAATGTAGGTTTCTGGCACCCTTGTTGCCACAGCCTGTTACCATCATCAGTCTGGTTTTTAGCCATGCTCTTGATTGGCTATTTTACATACATTTATGTGATAAAACTTTTAATAAAAACATTGATTATGGCACATGCTGATTCTACAAAAGCATCTCCCTGAGATGCTGCAGGATTCATACCTGTGCTTGAGGGGAGCATTATGACCATTAACTATTTTGTTGTGGAGTTTTTTGTTTTCCTGCAAGAGCTCCAGTTTCACTGAGACAAACAGCACATTGAGGAGATCTGTATGGAACAAGATGCAGGGTTAGGCAAAAAATTGTCAGCTACCTGGAGAAGTGGAAGTAAAGGGTATTTTAATGGTAGAAGGGGGTGTTTAGATCATGCAATACTTTGGTTTAATATGATGAAAATCAAAATAAACCATGCATTTTTTACTTTCCAGTCATGATCAGGTAATTATCACTACTTCCTGTATTTTGTTACCAATTAACATTTTATCTGGTATGTGTTTTACATTCTAGATGCTGAAATCTTCATCTAAGGAGAAATATCCCTTGTTTACTTTTGTAAAGGGTCATTCTAAAGACTATGACTTTGCTTCCAGTCCACTCCGTGAAGAAAATGACCTTTTCTCTGAGGATGAAAAGAAAAGATTAAAAAGATTTAGTACAGAGGAGTTTGTCTTGCTTTAAGGACGTTTTACACAAGATTATTGGCAGCTGTCCAGGAGAACACTTGCTTTTTAAAAAACAAAAGATAAAAAATTGGATCTGTCCTCCTCCCCCAGGAAGGCAAGCTTGTGCTGAAATTGGTCTATTTTCATAAAGATGATAATATTTTATATGTTAATAGTCTTTAAAATGTCATTTATAAATGTACTTACTAATTAATTTTGTTCACTGCTAGTTGGATGAGTTGAATGTCACGTTGTGCTAGTGAAAACAGAAGGAATGGTTGAGAGCCAGGTGTGCTGAAACATGCCTGCCTCCTGCTCTTGCCCTCTTAAGCTTGGCCAGTCCCTAAAGCCCAGCTTGTGCCCAGAAGAAATCCTGAGCAGAGGCTAACAGATCCATGGGGGTTTTATGGCATGGGCACATATCCGTAGGTTTTCAGACCATGTTATTTCTGTTTGGAGGGAAATTGGGAGTTGAGGATTCGTGTGGCAAGGGTAGAACTCCCGTCTGTAAACCCAGCAGTAGTTCCTGCTGTAAGGGTGGCACCCATCCTGAGCAGCACAAGGGGAGAGGGGGAGTTTGATCTGTCAGTAGGAATTGTCAGTTGCAATACTGATAGAATTATAGAGGCTGACTTGTGAGTTAAGATACTATTTAGCAGTATGATTTTATAATGGTTTCTCATTAAGCTTGCTTTGAAGCCTTAATATGAGGAGTGAAGATAAAGTATTACCTTTCCCCACAATTTTTAAAGGTTATACTATTAATATTAACTGCAACCAATCAAAGCAGCTAAAGACAATTATCAGAAGAGAGCAGTGTTTGTTTCCTGCTCAACTACTAAAATGTTGAGGCTTCTGTCTTGTTAGTGCAGCTTTTAAATCAAAGCAAATGGAGGAGTGGGTGTTAAAATTCTGGGCTGTGATTTATTTTTTTTATTATTATTATTTTGATACATGTTACTACTGCACAAATGATTACTTGATGGTGAGCATTCTCAGATTGCAATCAAATGTACAGGAATAGCTTCATGTTTTAACAAAGTAAATGCAATATTTAAAATCCATATTAGCACTGCTTGGAAAATAAAAAAGGTGTGAAAACATTAGATGTATGTGCCTTCTATATTAATATTAGATCCTCTAAGAGTGAATATAATCCTGCATCTAAACCAATATTGTAAGGTGAGAATAATCTGTTTATTTGCAATAAAGGCAAATTTTATTGTTGTGTTGTAAACCAAATGTTAACCTGCTCTAAGTGCTGCTTAGGCACAGAAGGCACAAACGTTGCTGATCCAAATAATAAGCATCACGTGTAGTCATTAAAGCACCTTTTTTTCCTTTTATGAGAAAGAAGTGACTAATAGATTTCAAGCTCAAGTACATCTGTGTGTCAGGGCAGTGGGAACTGAGTTAATATTCCAAAAAGCCAAAAGGAAATTCTGTTCACTTGTTCTCAGGGAAAAAAAAACAGGACTTGTCATTTGTCTAAATTAGTAACCTCTGCACTGTTGAATCCTACTAATAATTGGCATAATTTTACTTCTAGGTGCTGCACATATGTGAGGATGTTTGGCTTCATCTTACTTAATATTTTTCATTAAAAGCCCAGAAGAGGGAGTAAACAACATATTTATAGAATTTAGATGTCAAAATGAAGAGAATTGTGAATGTCAGTGAGAGCTAGAAAATGGGAGATTCCTGTTTAGTGAGGCACAAGTTAATGTAGCTTTAGCAGAAATAATGCAAAACAGTTGAGTGGTTCTGTGTGGTAACAGGGGACAGGAAATTAGACATGAAGCTGTACTTTGCTTCCACATCTGGAAAAAAAAAAGCAATCCTATGCTGCATCATTAAAAGCTTCTGTCGCTGAGCAGGGGGATGTAATTGGTATAAGCTGATTTCAATGATGCTCTCCTTTCTGCTTACACCTTTCCACGAGGAAGACATTAACTAATTAAAGTGCATGGAAGAACAGGAAAAATGTTCAGGAGCCTGCGGGGCTGGATTTAAGGCAGATGAACTTGTAAAGCTGGGACTTTTTCAGGCTGGAGCTGAAGAGGGAGGACAGAGAAGGAGGGAAGCACTGATCCCAGGATGTGTGCCCTGGGCAGGGGCAGAGGAGTGAGAGGGAATGGGGAAAGAACAAACATCTCTGGGAAAGGTGCTCCAGGGGGAGCCTCCTGCAGGCTGGCAGGTAGGGCTGCTGTAAACCAGCCTGGCCCAAAGGCTGATGAGGGCACTGCAAAGAGCAGTCTGCCTTCAGCAGGTTAGCTGAATCAATAATGTCTCTTCCATTTACAGCTTCTGTTGTTGTAGTCATAATAATAAAATGTAATAAGCTTTCGAGGGTTTAATGCCCAGGAATCTGCAATATTTGTAATGAAGTGGTAAGTGGTGCTGAGTTACGTGAAACTAACAAAAACATACAGCTTTATGGTGGACTTTTGTCCCAGATATGTGGTATTTTTGTTTTCTTTAAATGCAAGTTACTGCAAGTTACTCAAGTCATACAAAGACCCAGATCTCTTTTGAAAGGCTTTATCCATTCCACCCCACTGCAGGCTTCAGGCTTTATATTGTTACTGGGAAGAAGCCCAGGGAAACTGGGGAGATGTCAAAAGGACCAACTCTTCCTGTGTTGCTCCCTAGTAAACTTACAGTGTGAAACAGACTGAAAACAGAGTGATGTGCTGGGAATTGGTGATTGCTTTTTGTCATCAGAATAAAACAAAACCTGAGGCCTGCTAATTCTGCCAGTTTCCTACATCCAGGCCTTTGCATCCCCTGGTCCACAAGAGCACCACGGGCCACTCATCCCACTGCATTCCAGGAGCTTGATCTGAGCTGGGAACTAAAGTGGAAAGTTTCCTTCCTGAATTCTGCTGGCTGAAGTTGAAGTACCTTAGAAAATCCCATGTGCACATACCCACCTGAGTTAGCTGTGGCTCCAGAAAGGAGCTGCTATTCAGAAGACCTTTGGTTTAGTATTCTTGTAATTGCAATGCTCAAGTGGAAACACAAGAGCTATAGTACTAAAGTGTTAACAAGTAGTTCAGCCATCCCAGCAGCAGACTCCTCTGGAAATATGAAATTGTTTCATTTGCCTCAGACTTTCTGCAACTTGTTGATAAAGACTCATAATGGGTAAAACACCTTCGTTGAGTTTATTTAAGTAGTGGACTTTTCACCTTTTTGACTAAGGGGCAGGAAAGACTTTGGTGCTAGAACATCAGATGGGTTTTGGTCCTTTGATCTGTTAGGAAATCCTTTCATTTACCACAGTGATGTTTTATTTAAAGCCTGCTACAAAGAGTTGTTAAAAACTAATGGCTATTTTCTGATTATTTTCATGGGCTTAAGCAGAAACAAGCCCAGAAGTTGCCCTGGTGCACTCATGTACAGTGGTGACACAAGTTAAATTACAAAGTTACTGGAAATTAATGTTTTTTGGTAACTCCAGGGGACTTTAATTGGAAACTCTGTTAATCGCACAGTAATTCTCTTTACCTGGTCTGCATTATCTCCTGAAAACTCTGCAATTAATTTGTGTCATCACTGTTGCTGCTGCTGCCTTCAAACACAAACCAAATGAGCATTAGTTACTCACACACCCAGCAGTGGCCTCTTCCCTTAAAGGACTTCCACAAATCACTGGCTGACGACTCTCTTGCCTGATGGAACCAGATTGCACATACCACAGAAGGTGGTAAATAGGAGCTCCCTTCAAAGTCTGAGCTTTGAGTTGCTTCAGAACATCATCTTTTTTTTGCAATTTCCTTTTCCCTTAGAAGGAACATCTCTTTGTGTGTTTGTAATATCTAATATTAGCTTGACAACCTCAGAACACAAAGTGATCTTGGCCTAATTTTAAAAACTAATGAGAAACCAAAGGCAGAGTCTGCCACTGCCTGGCTATGCTAGAGAGGCAACAGCAGGCCCCAGTCTTGGTTCTTGCTCTTGCCTTACATGTTTTTTACTGTAAAGAAATACTTTTGTGGGTTTTTTTTCATTAACTTACCCCTCCAGAAGCAGGTGAGCAGTTCTGCTATGTGCAGTACAGGCAGAGGAACACATCAGGGTGTTTGGGGAGGCCAGGAAGGGATCTCCTGTTTGCCAATAATTATAATAAGAAAATGGACTCACTCTGGAGACCTGTTTTATTTCCAGAGTTATTGACAATTTCTGAAACTGGAATGATGGAATAAAAAGCAACCATCAGTGAGCTATGAAAGGTCAATAAACCCACAAACAAATACAAACAGCATGGTTGAGATCCAGCCCACCCCACATTCTGTTTATGCAACAATTCCATCCAAGGTGATGGGGCTTTTTGGGAAGCTGAAGCACCAGCTCTTCCTGTGCTCCCAGGAGCCTCCAGGAGGGCAGAACGTGCCAGGTTACTTCACAGTCCTTTACCACACTGCTGTTGATTACTGTGAGAGTATGGCTGCATTTCCTCTTCCCAGTGCATGGAGCACAACTCCCTAGCCCTGCACAGAAGGCTGGGGAGCACAGTCAGGCACAACACCCAGCAGTATTTCAGCCCCATGCTCCTTCTGTCATCCAGAGCCTCTGTAAGCCTGGAGCTGCTTCCTGGCACCACAAAAGTGTTCCAGCCTCCCACTGTTCGGTTAGGCCATGGCATCATTATCTAAAGGGGTCTTAAAATGCTGGTGACTGATTTGCATTAACCAAAACGTGCAAAGAGGCATTTGAGGGAGCCAGGACTGAGCCCTGATTAATCCTCGTCTGCCCCTATGATTTGGTGTCTTCATAGGATGGTTTCTGTTGCCTAATTGGATGAACTGAGCTTTATAAACAGTTCCCTTCCCTGTCTGTAAGCAGTTCACGGGCAGCTGTAATTGTCTGAATCCATGGTGTGAATAGTAAAAAGAGCTTTACTTAATGACTGCAGAAGCCCTTCTCGTGTGAGAGCTCTTTATTCACACCAGAATTCACCACACTTCTGTTTTCTGTGAACGCTCCTGCAAAGAAAAACTTGCTCACTCTAATGTTTATGAATAAATGTGGTCGTAAATGCCACCAAAGAAAATCAGCAGGGTTTTATTTATGCAAGAAGATGTGCAAATAAATGTTTGCTGTTTTCACCTAGCTCTGGTGGGTGTTTAGGCAGATGTTAAACCCAAGGCTTTGTGGGCTCTCTGCTCAGCACTCACACGTTATTCTTATTTTCCATCTCCTCCATTCCTACACTCTGATCCTGTCAGTGAATCCCCGTGTCCCAAGGGAACACT